GTCTTTGATATGACAAGAGTAAAAGTTTTTTGAAAAGAACTTACTTCTTTTGCATTTTTGATTGTGCTGTGAAAGGTATGCCAAAAGCCTAATTTTGCAGGTATTGAATTAACTTCTTGGAGACAGTGAAACCCTGTAAAGTATAATGGCTGTAAGAACCCTTTCATTGTGATAGGTGTTGAGTTAGTCCTGTCTTAACCTCTATGATCTGGATGATGTAACCATCAAGCCATGAAAAAATTTGGCCTGAAGGACAGGGAACGTGGATGTGCTGTCACAGGAAAATCTAGCTATGTCCAGGGTGATGCAAACTTATAATTTTAAACATTTCTGCTGAAGGCAGGGGTGATGGGAAAGACTTGCCATGAGTGTACAAAACTCTTGGATAGTGTTTAGACTCATTTGGCATGTAGAAAGGGGCTTTTGCATTATTTCCATTGATAAACGAGTGTGGAATTTACTGTCTGTGAGCCATGACTGGAAGAGCACTGGATTCAGGGAGGCTGCTATTTCCATGCACATATTGTATTACAGAAAATTTGATATTACAAAAAAATAAGAAAATTACCCAAACTACTAAATTTTACTTATTATTATTGCACTGAGTTAAGGACTACTTAGAGATGATATAGTCTATGTAAGGAAAATAGTTTTAATACATTCTGGATACAGCATATCAAATGACAAATATAGACATTGGAAAATGGCATGAAAGCTAAAAATGCTTATGCTAATAAAGAGAAAATAACAGGGAAAGGGGAAGCATGGAGTCTTCTCACTACGTGAGTGTTTGCTTGCATACAGCCTACATGCTGCATATCCAGCAGAGTGGCTGCTCAAGTAAGTCTATTGCTCATATTTTGGGCTCCATGATGTAAGCGAATCAGCTGGATCCAATGGGTTCATCTCTACAGTGGCTTTAAAAAGTTGTTGTTCCGAGACTTCCAACTAAACTTGTTGAATTATTTTTTTTTTTCCCAAGATGAATTGAGATCAAGATACAAAAGAATAGAAGATAGTATAATTAATAAATAAATGGAATGAGTTAGAGTGACTCTAAAGTGCTTCTTTCTGACCTATGGAAGATCCCTTGCTGAGGTTGTGGCTGAGAGAGAGTCGCTGATTGATGCCCTTCATGGAGAGCTGGAAGCCATGCGAGCAGAAGTACAAAGAGCTAGATCCCAAGCCACCCACAACGAAGAACAACTGAGACTGCGGATAAATGATCTGGAGTCAACTATTGCAGAGCTTGTAAGATTTTGATATCTTTGTAGATTATGATTTCTTTTTTTTTTTTTTTTTTTTTTTTTTTACTTTATATTGCATTAAATTGAAAATGGTAGCTAGAACTCGTTTGTTCATAGTTAATTCTTGTCACAAGGTCTGATAAATAAATTTTTGTGCTTTCCTGAAAATGTTTATTAGAGTCCCTTTTGATGTGAAGGTATTTTGATTTGTGTGACCTTTGTTTTACAGTCTTCATTATTTTTTATGCAAACAGGACAGTGAATTGTTAGCAGAGAGACAAAGCAGAGAATCAATCCTAGCTCAGGTAGAAGCTGCTGCTGCCAGTGCTGAAGCAGTCACTCGCCTGGCTGCAGAGGAAACCAGAAGGAGGACAGCAGAAGAGAAGTTCGTAAAAATGAAGGATGTTTATCAGAAATTACGGGATGAGCACATCAATCTCATCAGGAGTGTAAGTGAACACTGATTATTCAACTGAAATAAGTAGATTACATACATAAAAGCAAAAATTAAATGTGATAGTGCTTGTTTCAACCAGAAAGAAATTTTGTTTAAGAACCTTGCTGAATGATCAGTTGGTTATTATCCTTCTGTGGTGATTCTTGATGCTAAGGACAAAGTGATTCTTGTGAACTGTGTGGGAGGAAGTAATTAACATGATTTTAGAAAGATGAATTATGCATGTTAGCACTGTAATTTTGTATTTAAGGTCATTTCTTTTAACTATAAATTGCTTTCACTTGTTTCACAAAAAAATTCTGGTTTTAGAAAGCGGACTTAGATAAGGAACTTGGCCAAGCTCGTGAAGCCTTATCAACAAGTCAGCGAAGTCAAGATGAGGCTGCAGCTAATCTTCAGCGGTTGCAGGCACAGATGGTCCATGAAGCAGAAACCCAGCAAAACTCTGTACAATCGGCACAGCTGGTGAGCCTTAGTATTGCTTGTTTTGCTCACAAAATGAGAGAAAGAAAAACTTTGTTCATCAAAAGAATCCCTTTTTATAGAGTGAGATATATTACAAAATTGTTTTTTGTAAATATAATGATCTTTTTTAAAATGCAATGATAGATGAAATACAGAATGTAGCTTAGTATTATAACAGTGAAATGAAATTCATTCTAGGAAGCCCAGTCACTTCACCAGCAGTTGAGTGCAGCAAGGACAGAGAGGGATGAGGCCCTATGTCAAGTGAAAGAGTTGCAGGCTGGCATGTCCAACCTTCAAAGCCAGTTGGAGGCACAAGGTGTCAGATTTACATCTGAGGTGAGATTTTAAATATATAGAAAACTCTAAACAAATGTTAGGTCTAAACTATGGCATATGGAACAATTGTATTATTGCTAGATGATATTCTTTTTGCTTAAAAGCGTTTTAACTAAACTTTGCATTTTGATACACTTGGACCAGGCTCAAGGGATACACAATGAGTGGGAGTCTGGAGTTCACAAGTGTGTAGAAGGAGCAGTAGACGGGGCACTTGTCATTATGGCTAATGCACTCTCACATTTTGACCATGAAGCCCACACTGCTGTCAAATGCACGCCAGGTGAGTTTTCTTGCATAAACATATTGCTTTGTATTTACTAGGTGTGTCATAAAGAAAATGAAAAATGAAACTAAGGATAACAAATAAAGATGAATAAGAATAAATGTTCAATATAATATCAGTCATATTGAAAGCTCAGTTGGGATTATGTACATTATGTATTGTTGTGCATGGAGTTGTGAAATTTTAAAAAGATCCACTTAAGGACAATAAACTCTTCTAATAAAACCACTTCCAGACATCCCTGCCAAGTATTTCACTCCCACACTGGAAGCTTTTCAGAATTTAGAAAATGCTCAAAGTTCTTTGAATTCAAATGTATGATCATTGCTCAGATTGTAAAGTTTCATCTTCATGTGCTTCATATTCATTATAAAGCCAAAATATCCTCTTTTTAAAAAAATTCTTGGAACTAAAATATAATATGGTGGTCAGAATGTAAGTGATATTAAGTGCAAGTTCTGTGGTAAATATAGTTTGCCACATAAATTTAATATATAAGAATGTCTTTATTTTTATAAACATAGGCACAGTTGGAAGGATAATTTTTAAATGAATTATTTTTTTCTTTATTTCAGAATACACTTTGGTTTATCAGACCTTGGTGGATAATGCTTTATCAAGTCTTTCAAATGCCCATGAGACTTATTTAAACAATTTCAATACTGCACCAAGCCTGGTGGCCAGCATTTCCAGTGCTGCTCATTTTGCATCTGTTTTTCTGCTTTATGCTAAAGCAACATCACATACAAGTCCAAACATTGAACATGCAGAAAGTAAGTGATTCTTCATGTGTGTGTGTGTGTCTGTCTGTCAGGCTGGGAGTGTCTGCCTCAGCCACTGTCTGTCCTGGATTAGCTCCAGTACCCCTTTATTGATACCAAAATCCACAGGTGTTCAAGTCTACATATTGAATGCAGAAGTAACTGTTATAAACCTAATTACATAATTTTTATCAGCAAAGCATATCCTTTTCTTTCTTTTAGTTTCTATAGTTTTTGTTAAATTGTGTAAAAGAGAAGTACATATTGTATAAAACACATTAGGAATTAAATTAATTATAAATTCATTCCAAAGCAGTGCAGGAGCAATGAGTCGTTGAGAGAGACTGTACCTTCATTTTTAGAAATATTTCCCACCCATTTGAATTTGAGCATATGGAGGAATGTGATGGTATTCCCCCCTCAAAACTACAAAAATGCAAATTTTCTTTAAACAGTATTGTGTAGGAGAATAAAGTATATATGGTCAGTACAGATGCAGCCATTGTAAATGTTCCTACTCAATACATATCTGCAACAGTGTAACATGTTCTTTCTTTCAGTGCTTAATGATTGCTTTTTTTAACCATCTAAAAGATAATTACATAAAATAAAACACATTTAAAGTAAAACTATATATAGAAAATAAAATTGTTGAAAGTATTAATTTTTTTTTGATTAGTGCAAGAACAATGAGTTCTAGGAAGAGACCTTGCATCTATTTAACATTTAAAAGAAGATACTTTCCTTCCATTTGAATGTGCACATAAGGAGGACTGACTCCATCTCCCCTACAAACACACACACACTCTAAAATGCCCACAGACATCCCACACAGACCACCCCACCCCCTCCCCCAACCATACCCCCCCCACCACACCCAGACCAACACCCCCCCCCCCCCACCCACACCACACCCACACCCACACCCACACCCACACCCACACCCACACCCACACAGACTCCCACTCCAAATACCCACACCAGTAGAATGACAATGGTAATCATGTGTATGGTGTTTCTAGATCTTGTAGCAGCCTTAGAAGTGTTTGCCAAGAAATGCATGGAAACCATGGAGAGAATACGCTCTAAGGAAAGCATACAGGACATTCCTTACATAAAGGAGCAGTTTGACAGGTTTGTGTCTTGTGTTTTCTCTTTCAAGGCCAGTATGTTTTGCCTCATTTCTAAAACTACCATATTGTAAGTAAAAATAATATCATCTTAGTATCATAAACATGCTTATGTGTTAACCTTTATTTTCATACTGTTGTAGATGTTGCACACTAGTGTCTCTTTGTGAGGATCAGAGTCCAAGAGAAGAGGACATGGCGGAGGTTGTTCAGCGGGAGATGGAGGCAATGGACTTGGCCATTAGGGATGCAGTTGATAAGTTCACTCGACTCTTAGAGAACTCCAGAGCAAATGACACTGGAATGCAGCTAGAGGTAAGCTTTGTAGCTCTGTTGTCATGGTATGTTAGTGGTCTGCTGAGCAGATGGAAGAAGGTGCTCATGATGTACTATCAAGGGGAAAGAAGACTATTAATTTTAATCCTGACTATGTAATCTGAAGATGATATAAAAACGAAGTAGAAAAAATATGAATGAGAATGAATAGCATGAAAGTGTAACAGATATATTTGATATGTTTCTATAATATCTTTCTCAGAAATATGTTTGTATATTTCTAATAAAGATGTAATTGAAACTTGCAGAATAAATCTTGTGTTGTGAAGTTATTTGTTTTCATTCATATATTTTCTACATTTCTCACAAGGAACTCTATTCTTGAAAATTTCACAAAGTAAATGAGAGACAAGTGGTTTTGTATTAGCTTTGCAAATGAAGTGAAATTTATTTGTTTAACCCATTAACGCCGGTATATTTTGAAGCTGAAAATAAAAGATTCTGGGCAGCTATAAAATCGAAGCACGGGGCTGGCCCAGACTCTGCCCGCGCTCTGGCCACGGCCCACTGCTGTGTCAGACTGCGAGCCCCGATACAGTGTCACACTGGCGGGACGCCTGGCAATGTTTATTTTTTCAGGTGTCTCATATGTCGTTATCCGAAGCATCAGTATGAAATTTGATTAATCTTAATATTTGCAACCAATATAACTTGGAACTGCAACCATACCTGATATTCACCCATCAGTGGAATGTCCTTTTCTCACTCACTGTCATCACTTGTACTATCATACATTATACAGGTCAAAAAGCCTCCATCTTATGCTATACATGGTATTCATAGCCATGGCCACTTGAGGTATGGAAGGATTGGCTTGTGAGGAAAGGACCCATAGGAATGGCATGAATGGAAATAGATAATATTAAAAACTAATGTGAATTATCTTTATGATTCAAATTCTAAAGGATGCAGAAATTACATATACTACTCATCTTCCAGAAATGAAAGTCATGATTACATTTAGAGCATAACTCCTCCAGATCCATTTCTGGCTTTAGCTAGAGTAGCTGCTAAATCCTGATTACGGTCAGGCGTTAAGTTTAAAGGTAATTGGACTCTACCTCTATAACCTCATGTGAACTAATATGAAATATTTAAATTACAGTACCCTCTCAATAACTTGATGTAATTGTGGGAGACCTAGGTTGAATTAAGCTGAAAGTTTTATCTATGCATTGTTTGGCCTTCTCAACATGTGTCAAATATTTTTCTTTTAATCAGAAGAAATTTTGTGTACCAATATATATCATCTAAAACATGTAGAGCGGTGGTGGAGGTCAAGGATTTCAGAGTGTGAGGGGAGAATGTTGGTGCATGGCCCAGCAAATGAGCAAGCGGCTACCTCTGTCCGAGTAAAAGGTCTGCCAGCTAATCAGACGTACGTCATAAGATGATAATTTTTGATTAATGATTAAAGTAAAGATAATAATTATTGGAATTTCTGGCTCAAATTTTTGCAGTATCTTAGTTTCATTGGTATGTAATACAAAGATGAATTTAACCCACTGATGCTAGTATATTTTGAAGCCGAAAATAATAGTTTCTGGGTGGCTACAAAATCGATACGCAGGGCTGGCCCGGAATCTGCCTGCGCAAGCTCCAATCCAACGTCACATGGACAGTGTTTATTTTTCCAGGTGTCACATATGTGGGACACCTGTCATAAATGGGTTAAAGGAGATTGAACAATAATTACTATGTATTGAGAAAATACCCTTGCATGTTTTACTTTTATTGCAATATGTCTCAGAGGATTCTAATGATATGTAATAACATTCTGTTCTGTAATATTCTATGGCTATCTTAAAACACATAATAGTTGAACTCACTGGCTTAGTGATATATCAACCTTTGTTTGATATAAGCAGTGGGTAGGTTGGAAGAATCTATGGCTATTGAAATAACAGAAGTTAAAATTGTTTAAGTTTGAATTTTCAAGTGTTGAGTGTATTTCCTAATTCTACATAATAAGCACATAGCAAGTGCTTCCAAGCCACCTTTTTTGCAAAGATATTTCTCTGAAAAAACTAGGGAAATATATTTGTTATGGTGATACTTCACAAAGAATGAAAATGTTGACTAGCAATTAAAGTAATTGTAAATTAACCTATGCATCACATGCAGTCAGATACTCAAATGAACAGTTAGGAGTATCTGAAACATTCATTTACCCCCCTCTTTATGCTTTTGGCTGTGGCTCACATAATTCTTTAGGAAATGAGGCTAAAAAGAGATTTTAACCCATTGGTTGTGGATGACATAATATACATTCCATGTACATTGTAATTTCAATTTATTGATTTTGTTTGCACATACATAGGCATCTTGGTAATAATGGTTACCAATTTATAAGTTTCATTAGGTTTTTGGAAACATTTTAGGAAGTATAAATGTTGAAATGTGTTAGGAGCCAGACAGCTTTCCTCAGCCAAATACAAAACAGGACTACCAAAACAACAGATATAGAATTCTTAACATATAGGCAGAAAAATTCCTTTGAAGGATTTTCTGGCTTGGTGTGTCACACAAGATAAATGGTGTCTTAGGTTGGACTTCCCAAGCATTATGTGACTGATATGACCTATATCACTACTTAAATATTTCAGGTTAATTGTAGTATAGGATATTCAATTTCTTAACTATGCTGCTCTCCATAATGCAAGCGAATATTAGTAGTAGTTTGAATATTTTCATGATTGCATTGATAGATTGTTTCATATTATTGATAAGGCTTGTAAAAATCTTTAATTTAAGAAAAGAAATAAGAGGGATGCAAGCATTTCAAATCTTTAAGAAATTGTATTTGAAATTGATAGATTTTGTGTCAATATATTTCCAGAAAAAATAAAATCAATTGGATTTACTTGGAACTAATAGAGCAAATTGTTTTTGATATTTGCTACCACCAAATGCTTATGAATTATTAAAAGAATGAAGCATTTATGAAAACTCAGTTTTGCTTGATGTTATGTGTCATAGTGTTCTATCATGTAATGACATGGTCATGTTCTATGAACTCTGGGGGATTATAAACTGTTTCCATTTGCATCTAAAGAAATCAAATGACCAATCACAATTTTATTGGGACATTTAGCAATGTCTAGTTTGGTCTTGTTGGGTGATGGGATATCACACTGTTCATCATTCCTTTTTGCACTCTTGCACTTCTTTTTGGGGGGGGATCCTTTGTTAAGTGTTACATTCCCTTTAAGACTTTAAAACTTTGTCACAGTCGACTAAACAGACTCGTTACCATCACAGGGTGTTTTAGAATTTAATCTTACTGAACATTTGTAAGGCCCATATGCTATTATTCACTTGAGGTTGGACACAGTTGTTGCATATATGATATGGTTTATATGGGCTATGTACACTTGTACATGAAATGATTTTGCTAAAGAAGGGTTTAATTGCATATAAGTCAGTGTTGCTAATGGGAGTAATTATTGAGTTCCATGTATAGTTGCAACTCATTATTTTTTTCTAGTTTGTTTCATTAATTTTCTTATGAGCACTTCTGTTAGGAAGATTAAAATATGGTTTTGTTTTAGATGTATTTATATGTTCCAAATTTTTAAGATGTTATTGAATGTGTTTTCTAGTTATAATGGTCATTTGGGCTTATATTACAGCAGATTTTCTCTTTATTATTCTCAGATTAAGTTTGGAAAGGTGCTAAGCAGAATGGTTATTTATTTTAAAGTGTTGCTAGTAGAGAGAGAACTCTGATAGGTCACAATATTTATTCTTGATATCTTCTTAATTCCAAATTGATTATAGATAATAATTCAGTGAATATATATATCGAGATCAGAGATTTTTTCTTTACTAATGGTACTTAACTTGGTGAGTATTGTGTGGCATACTAATAGAAAGATATATTTGGATATCTGCAACCTTTTATGTAACTTTGTTTTCTGTGCGTTTATTATGTGATTTTTTTCTTTAATAATCATAAAACTTACAGAGAAAACTAGATAAGAGTTTATATGTTTTGTGCCTGTTTAATTAGATTGGGGAAATAGCTTTTCAAAGATGTAATATAGTGTATAAATCATCACAACTAACACTTAACTTAAGATCAGCATACACAAATGCATCTCAGCCATCAGAAGTTGAGACTGATGATTACTTCAGGTGGATGATGCCCTGTGTTGGAAGAGGGGGATCACTATCTCACAGAAATCCTCATGCTGTTTATTTGAGGGTGGGTACTGGTATGTGCTGTTGCATGTACTTGTACTGAGCACTGTATTGTAATTCAATTGCATATTAGGTTCTTTGGACACCAAACAAAAGATGGAATCAAATCTTATGATTTATTTCTTTACAGGGGATAGGTTTGAAATTATGATAATGTATTTACTCCATCTCTAAGTTAATTTTTTTTCTAATAGCTTGAAAGTTTATGCTGACAGAGTTCTTATATACACATATATAAAAAGAAAACACACACGCACACGCACACGCACATGCACACGCACACGCACACGCACACGCACACGCACACGCGTGCGCATATACATACGTATATGTATATATGTATGTATGTATGTATGTATGTATGTATGTATGTATGTATGTATGTATGTATGTATGTATGTGTATATACGTGATTACATACATATGTATATATATTATACATATATATATATATATATATATATATATATATATATATATATAATATATATATATATATATGTATATATATGTATATATGTATATGTATATATATGTATATATATGTATATATATGTATATATATATATATATATATATATATATATATATATATATATGTATATGTGTATATATATATATGTATATATATGTATATATATGTATATATATATATATATGTATATATATATATATATATATATATATATGTATGTATGTATGTATGTATATATAATATATATATATATATATATATATATTATATATATATGTATGTATGTTGTATATATGTATAT